GGCTTAAATCAATATATTTGTTTTATAAATAATATTATTATTCATTTTATTACATTAGGTATTACTAATGTGTATGCCTGCTATGGCCTACACATCATGACCGACGCATATCTACATTTTGTTCTCAATAATTATTATTGATTAGCGTTTAATCCATTAAAAGGCACTAAGTAGGTAACTTCTTTTACATTTTACAGGAGAGAAAAATACATTTTAAATTATTGGTAGGTGATATGTGATTTTTATCGCAAGACTCAATTTTTGTGCTACAGCTTTTTATTGTTTAATTGATGTCAAGTAACAGTGCATAGTCAGTATTCTGTCACTCGGGCAAGTATAAGGATAATAATTTTATAAACAAAATACAAATACACAAAAAACAATCTGTATCCACACAATCTACCTCACTACTTACCTAGGTTTTCTGCATTCTAACGTCGTGTAATTGTATTTTGTATTATGGTGTCCAATTTAGGTCCAAAAAAAAAAATGACTTGGCTGATGATGGTAGGTATCTTTTTTTAGCTACCCAATTATTTTTATCTCTGACCAATATTTATAAACATTAGGTAATCAGGTAGGTATTTTTTTTGTATTTCAGTGTTGAAGCAAGTTACAAGCATTATTAATTTTAACTTTAAAATTTTAATACACTTATAACACCCTTGAACACTTCAAAATTAAAATATCATAAAACTCTTAAAGCTGTGGATCGTGTATTTATTAGGTATACATTTAAATCAATAAACAAAATTGAAAATATTAGGGTCCAAACTTCCAAATCTCAATTTTGAATACATTTATGAATTTGCTGGCCTTTTTTTTATGTTATGGTGTAAAAATATTTTTCCATCCGAAATGTTACTAAGTCATACAAGTATACAACAATACATTGAATTCTTTTTCCCGATCAACATAATACAAAATATTTATAAGTTCAGATTTATTTTTAAAACATAAATCCAACTAACTAATAGAACTGCTGTATAATAAACCTAGTGTTGTACAATACATTTAATGAAAAAATTCTCTCCAACAGCCTTAGGTATAATGTGAAAATTATAAATTAAAGAAAGTCTCAAAATGTTCAAATGCACTTATTTAGTAGTTAAATAATATAATGATTTTTGTTATCTATTTTCAATGAGTAGGTATGAATAAGTAATTATCATTTATCAGTTCAATAATTTTAACCATTTATTAATAGGTACTTGTCTACCAATGTATTTAAATTCCAAACTCTAGGTAGGTGTCGACTACCAAGCCATCAAGCCATATTATTTTTCGGTATTCGCTAAAAATCGACAACGCTAAAAAAACGTCAAATGTATTCGACATAAAAATCACTAATATTAGTGCGGCTAATTGGCAGTTAACCCGCGACCATATAACTACCGTCCTATCTATTTACTTTAAGGGTGCACCAAAATTGTTTTGGGGTGGTGGGGGCTAAATCATTGTCGCACATACGGGGATGCCTAGCACCCCCAAGACCTTAACTATCCCCCCCAAATTATTTTAAGTTAAAAATATCGTTTAAAGTGTAATTTTGCGTTTATAACTTTAAGAGAATGAGTTTATTCCAGTTTGTATTGGTAATGTACTAATGCCACGGACACATATTTCGTGTTTAAATATGTTAGTATATTTTTAATTGAATAAAATAAACAAATAAACAATAATTATGAAAGTAGATAAAATGCAGATGCCCTGATTGCATCCCATATGTTCATAATAATTCGTTGGTTATAATATATTAATATATTATTATCGTCAAAAAAGTTTCTTAATAGAAAATCAGTAGTAAATCATAATAGTATTCATTGTACAGAAATCCGAAAGCACGCTTGTGCCCGATTTTCTACTGCCTTGTTTATGAAATAAACTATACATTTATATTAATTTTTTCACTTTGGGTTTTGATTTAGTTGATGTTATTATATTGATTAGATGTAAGAAGAATTTGTCTATTTCATTTTAAAGTACACTATTGAACTGGTAGGTATAATGATTGATATTAAGATAAGTATCTACCTACTAATTATGAATATGTTTCACTTATTCTATGATAGAGTATAATTTAATCATTTTAATCAATAATTTAATTAAAACCACCAATCAACAAGCACCTAGAAATCAACATTCACAGTGAACCGTTGAAGCTAACTAAAAACAAGTTTGTGTATTTTACTTACTTATTCTAAAAAGTGTTTTTTTTTAAATTATGCAGTAATAGTTTTAAACTGTGTTGATTCAATCAGAAACAATGCTGCAGGTTCTGAATCCTACTCTCTAATAGGTACCTATTATTATTATTATGAATTTATTAGGTAGCTAAGTTCTACATATGTGCTAAGTTTGTTAATTTCATAAATACTACATAGTACATTTATTGGTTAATATATTTGGTGTTAGTAAAGAGACCTAAGTATTTAATATATTTATATAAAGTATAAAATGTATATAACTGTATAGCTACTCAGAGTGAATGTTTTCAGTGGCTCTCAATAACACATTTACCAACCTACCTACCTATGTAGAACATACAACCAACTAAGTAGATATCAAAGCACTATTGTTTATCAACTACAGTACTATAAAGTATACATAATTACACAACTTATTTAAATATAAAATATAAATGTCAAGAGATCAATTATTTTGACTGTGCATGCATATTGATTACTACCTATACAAAAGTAAAAACATAATTAAATATTTAAATACTTTAACACTCTTAGTATGTGGACTGTATCAAAGACTCAAAACATTTAAGAACTTATTACATAAATCAAAACAGCTGTCATTGCTGTTTGTCATCATTTCTCATCCAAACAATAGGAATTGCTATAATTTGATAATTTAGTTATTATTTTCACTTTAAAGGCTTGGAAGTGTACATTTTTGTACATTGCACAATAGTATAATGTAGTTTGTAGGTATCAGATAAACATGCAGTTAGTTCAACATTCAGTTACTTAAAAAGTTTATTTCATACTTCTTACACCAATATTAATAACAAGCAAAATTGTTTTTTTAGAAGAACCACTTTCTAGGTACCTTTAGCTATTTTAACAATAAAATTCCACATTGAAATAATATTTCCTTAATTGCACAATCCACTTATAATTCTATTATTAGCCTTTTAGAAGTAACAATGAAAATTATTTATAATTTAAAGAGTTTCATAAATATTTTCGTCTTTAGCATACAAATATTTCCAATGATAATCAAAAATTAGGTCAATAAAAAAACACAACATAATATTAGCAATAATGATAGGTTATACATAAAATAAAATATTGTTGTCAAAATCAGCGGTTCTCAAACTATAGTACGTGGAAGAATACATGGTGGTACGCGAAAGGCCACAAGATGGTAGAATGGAGAGTAAATAAATAAATATATTTAATTGTCTCTGAATGTTAGAACAGTTAAAAGATAAATATAAATAATATAATATAATATTAAATAATAAAATAATATTAATATAAATAAATTGAAAGTAATTTTACTTATAATAATAATATTCTATACAATGCACATGTCATACATAATTATTTTTATCTCGTGTCACAGAAAATATATAAATAAACCTCCCATTTGATACACACCGCACACATACATAGAATGTAGATAGTTAAATAATACATTTTATTTTACTAATACATGCACAATTTTGATAAAACTAATGTATTTTTATTAATGAATAATAAATGATTATATTATAGTAGTCATTTGTGGAATTATTATTTGAAAGAAATGTTTTACAATTTTGAATAGCTTTATTTTTAGACATAGAAGTATGCCAAAAAAATGTGTGGGAACCGCTGATCTAGTTGAGAATTTTCAACAATAACTACATACTTAGAACATTATTTGGTATTTAGATTTTCTATGATATAAATTTCTCTCACCCATTTGAATAATTAACATGAAGATATTTGTACGTTATAACTTAAAATTAATTTATTAATAAACTAAATTAATTAAGACATTCATAGGTAGTTACATACACAAAATTAAGTACTTATTAAAATAATGTATACTCAGTAATGAGTATGCTAAGTTTACTAATTGGATCTTAAACTTATTAAGTTGTTTGACAATAAAAACTAAACATTTTCTATCAGAACACAACAATCATTGTTTAAAAGAATAATATTTCTACTTAAACAATTGAACAAACACTGAATAAAATTATTCTAAATTAATGTTTTCCAACTTGATGCATTGTAAGAATTTAGTCAGCTTGTAAAATATCAAATATTAATGATAAAAATTGGTTTAGTCATAATCAAAATAATTCAATTTTAAAAATAAATTAAAATTAAAAAAATTGTTTGTATGTCATTTAAAACATCTTAAAATGTATAACTAGAAAAAAACGCTTAATTGAAGTATTAATATAATCATACACAAATAATGTGCATTATTTATTATTCAATGATAACTAAATAAAAATTAATAGTTGAAACAAAAAACTTTAAGATAAATGGTTTGACATTGTCAACAATATATAAAATCGGCTTATAATTAAAAATCAAAATATCATATATTCATATTATTACACAGTTTATATGATATTGTTATATCTTATATAAAAATTAATTCTATATATAAAAATTTATTGTCATTGGGTATATTATAAGTCTTCTAAGTAGTAATAATACAATTTAAAATCAAATCTATAATGAACATTCATTCAAATGAATAACAAAAAAAAAAATTGGTATATTAACAACAAACAATAAAGTTTTATCATTAATTTAGATTCTAAAGTTGCACACATCATTAAAATATTACTTAGTCCAACTAATTCCTCTTTAAACCCCGTATCAATTCATCTAAAATAATGAACAAGGAAAACAACATATAATATTACTTATTAGTAACAAGGTATATAAAATAACATATTCTAATTCATTGAAATAACATTTTTAAAAAAATTCCAAAACATGCCAAAGAAAAATAAAATAGCAAAATTATCACAGACTATCAAAATATAAACACTTCACCTTTAAAGGAATTATATAAATTAATAGTTATAGTGATAGTAATAATAATAGGTACTAAAAATAATCATATTAAAATCTTTTGGAAAACAAGAGATGCAATGAAGGATTGAGCAACGCAATAAAATTCAAGGTACATTTAGAATTACAATTACTAGTTGAATCCCGAAATGTTTATTATTATATAATACTCTTATAAATTCTAATGTTAGTGATGTCCGTGGTTATGAAGATATGTTGTTAATTACTCGAAATGTTAATATTCTAAAACGAGTAAAATGATTGTTATTGGTCATAGCGAGTAGATGTTTTAATTACTATCCATTTTGAAAGCATTAAATTTTTCTTTTACCACAGCTAAGGAAAATAATAAAAATTATTCAAATACCAAATAAAAAAAATGCTTTTATAATAAAATCATTTATTGAGTAATTTTATTTTAATTACCATCATAATACTTTTTGAGACTCTCTAATTGTTGATTTCTTAACCAAATATGAGGTCGCTTGGATACAATATTTTCAATTGCCTGTTCAGGAGTCCAATTATGTTTCTAGAATGATAAATAATAAAAATTACAGTGATGATAAACTAAATTCCATAATAAGTAATAAAAGTAGTAAGATAATACTATTTAGTTATTTATATAGATACATACAGACATCAAATAACATCCCACAAGAGTGGCACTACGAGTACGGCCTGCCTTGCAATGTACATACACAGTTTTACCATCTTTTGAAACTGATTCCATCACTGAAACGCCTTGAATTAATTTTTCATGGGATGGAGTCTCAAAAATATCTTTTGTACTCAGCTGACAATGCTCTACTCCCATTTTTTTCCATTCCTGAAATCAAAATATAACTGTTGATTATTGATGTCTAAAATCTTAGCTAAATAAAAGTTTATTTTAATTATTTAATACATGTTTGTGGGAATAACTAATAGAGATGTGAAATATTATATTAAATTAAATTGCATAGTGTAAAACGAACAGTATACCAATTGTGTATTAATTTGATAAGAATCATTTAGTAACAAGTAGTATAGACAGTAGCAGTAGTGTAGCTGGAGCTCAATTAAAGGAAAGGGGGCTATTTAAATTTTTAATATTCTATTATTTTATAACCTTTATAGGCTCTAGCCGTGATTAAAAGATCACCAAAAAAAAAAATAAAAACTGGCCATCCACTCCTTGCCCTTTCACAGCTACGCCACTAGACAAAAGTTTCTAAATACCATTAACATTTACAGCATTTATAGAAACCTTCAGCAAAACAAATTTCCATGCAAAAATTAATAAATCTCAATTTTATATCCATCTAAAAGAATTCAATTATAATTCAATATTAAAATTATTCTTTAGATGCTCTAAACGTAATATAAATCAAAATTTTGTCAATTGCTTAATTAAAACTTTTTATAAAATTATAAAATTTCTATTATATATATATATAACCTAATATGAAAAGAATCTAAGACATTTTAAGGTTGGAATACATTTTATATGCAAAATTTTGTCAAAGTCTAATTTAATAAGGCTAAATCTACTAAAATTTAAATATGCCGCTAGCGAAAACCTTCAAGTAACTATTATTAATAATTTAATATTTGTGCATGTCAATTATTTTATACAATCTTTAAATTATAGTGCTTAAGATAATAAAAATCACAATAATACAAAAAATATTATATTATATAAAATATATACAAGGATCAATAACATTGAATACAATTTATTTTAACTAAAATCACATTATATAAATTTTGTGCGAAGTTAATTATTAAAAAGAATTTTTTCATGTTAGTAATCAAGATAATTGAGCTATTATTAAATTATTATTATTATTATTATTATCATCAAACTATGATTTATGAGCAACCTTATTAAATAATAAATATTATTTACATTGAAATCAAAATTCTTAGGAGTAATAAAATACTTTTTTATACATACAATATTACTATGCATATTTTAATATTATAATACACATTTATTAATATAATATAATATTAAATCTATCCAACACATCAATCACAAAATATTGAAAAAAAATTATCTAATTATTATAATTTTTGATTATACATTTAAAATATACTCATCAAGAATAGATAGAACAATTAATTATACTATTTTATTACTTAATACCTGCATTTATACATTATGCATATTTTGAAATTTTCCTTAATTCACATTTTTCACATTCTAAGACTGTAGGAGAAAACTCTTTTATTAAAACTATTGTACAACATTAGGTTTAATAAATAGCAATTCTATTAGTTAGATTTATATATTTTAAATATAAATTTGTTTTTATAAATATTTTTTATTAGGTTGATTAGGATAAATAATATAATTTATTGTCGTATACTTGTATGACTTTAAAATATTTTAGATGGACAAATATTTTTCCACCATAACATAACATAAAGTCATAAAGGCCTTAAAAGCCAAGCAAATTTAAATATGTATTCAAAATTGAAATAAGGAAGTTTGGGACCAAATATTTTGTTTGTTGATTTGAATATATAATAAATACATGATCCACAGCTTTACAAGCTATACTATATTTAAATTTTGTAGTGTGTTATAAGTGTATTAAAAATTGAAAATTAAAAATGCATGTAAATTGCTCCAACATTAAAATATAAAAAAAACATTTAACAAACAGGATACTATGTTATTACCTTTAAATTAAAATTTTTTTGGTAAATTTATTCTAATATTACAATTAATACAAATAAACGATAACTGCTCAACAAACAAACATTTTCTATGTTAGGAAACCACAAATATATAGACTCAATTCAGAAATTATTTGAACACTGATCACTCATAACATAGAATTAATATAAATTAAAATATAATTTGTACAAAAAGTAATTTGATGTTGTAACAAAATATTTTTGAAAAAATATTATACTACTATTGTAATATAGGTATATTTTTAAGTTTTATCCTTACTGAATTCTAACATACAGTTAAAATTGTATAACACTAATCATAATATTGTTTTGAAAATTATGCAACAAAATAACAACAAACTAAGAATAAATAGTTAATTGGTTAAAACTTATAAAAATTTAAAGATGAGCGGAATAGAGTTACACATAGTAGCTCTGTGAAATGTTGATCCACTACTCAGTTCATCTTTAAAAACATATAATTTTTAAATAATTACTTTAAATAAAAACAAAAACATTTTATCTCTTATGATTAATTACGTGTTCAAAAGTCAATATAAATGTAACAAAATTCACACAAAAATATTCTACTTAGGAATATGAAAATAAAACTGTAAGTTGTCATTCAAATAAGCAAACAACTTGAAAATTATAGCAGTAAAAATAAAAAATATACAATTCATGTTCAAAAAAGTTATTCTGTGAAGATAGATCACAAATTATGTAAAAAAATTAATATTTTCAAAAACATTAGTTCTTTTTAAGATAACGAGTATTTACTAAACAAATATAACTTACACCTATGTATACAATATTATAAATTAATTTTACATAAAAAAGTATGAAATACATTACAATCATAATTTATGAATAAATAAAAAAAATAAATAATAGTAATACATTTTATTATAAATATTGTTTGATAGTTTTACAACTTACAACTTATTTATTATATATTTTTGTACAAAAGGTAACAGCTTCAAATACACAAAACATATTCAATTTTAAAAATATCAACATGTTAACGAGTAATGCTACTACAGCCCGTATCAGTATGTATAAGTAACAAGTAACAATTTGTTAATAAATTACATAGTAGTTTAATTATTAATTTAAATAAAAAGTAAAAATATTTTACATTTTTAGAATAATCATTTGAGTTTATATACATTTTATGATTATATGTACCATTTGATATTAATTTTGAAGGATATTTGACATATTTGGCCAATTATTAAATCATACTTAAATCTGTCTAATTTAACTTACCTCTGGTTGAGGTGTGAAATGTTCCAGCTCATATGATTCGTTCATTGATATCACACATCTGACATTTTCCTCATCAATTAACTAAAACAAATATTTTTTTTTAAATAATAAATAATAATTTAACTAGATGAAAACTATGAGTATACGTGAATATATAATTGGTCAACATATTGATGACAACCACTTGATGTGAAACCAACAAATAAACACTGATGATATGACTAGAATTACTAAATAAAATACAATAATCTAAAATTTGTTATAAAACATCTAATCAACAATAGGTGATACATATATTACTTTAATAAATGCCAACATAAATACATACTTTTTGACTTATATTTCTGAAAGGAAGTGCTCCCAATATAACATTTTCATCAATTCGATCATACCAGTTGCGCTGTGTTACCTTTTCCATAAATACATTGTATAAAAGGGTTGGATAAAATGTGACACGGGCAAACATTGCTGAGTTAGAAATCTGAAATTTAAAACAGAAGACAGTTGATAAAATATTAAATAATATTTTTTTTAAATTAATTAATAAATTGGTATTTTAATAAATATTTCTGAAATAAAAAATTTAAAAATATATATATTGAAATAAACAATCAACAGTCAATTTTAAATTCACTTAATTTACTATGACCTGCTAAATGTGGGAGTTATATGTTTTGCAATTAAAATTTTTTTTGTTTCCAACATTACCTTTGAATAAATTACACACTTGAATCCATTCAAAAAACTATAGGAAAATATTAAGAAACTTTTTAGATATCTATGGCACCATAGATGCAGAATCAGGAGCGGACTGGCTATGATGGCGGGTGGGCGATCCCTGCCTGGGCCTGTGAAAATGCGGGTTGTTTGAATACATTTGGGCCAAAATTAAAATGGAGTTTTATTATAAGCCCAATATTTGGCCAAATTTTCTGTTTCTACCGGGCCCATATTTATTCTCAGTCCGCCTCTGTGCAGAATACTCAGTCTATTATTTTAGAACACCTGACATATTACAATATTTAATGGTTTAATGTGTGATAATAGTTGGCTAATATAATAAGACATTTTAAACGCTATTTTTTTTAAATATAAATCATAAAAACTACTAGGTGTTTTATAAAAATTGCATTGTCATACATTTAACTACTAACTATTAAGTATAAAATACACTTGATCTGTTATATTTCAATCCTATAAAATTTTTGTTTAAAAAAACAATAAATACTTAGTATAGTAAATACTAGGCAGACATTATGCGTATAGACGATAATAATCTTCAAAATAGTACAATTAATAACCTCGCAAGTAACAAAAAATATAAATGAACAATAATTTTATTTATTCTCAAGTGGTTACATTGATTAAAAAACCAATAGCTATCTAAATAACATTAATAAACAAAATAGTTAGAATTAATATATTAAAAAAAGTTTTTTTTAATGTTGCTGTTGCACTACTTAGTACAGATAAATATTTTTTAATTTATTTAATAAAAATAGGTAACTCGGTTAGACACCCAGGCTTATTTTCATACCACAAAAAAATAAAATATCTTTTATTATTTATTGTAATAACCAAATAATATTATTAGTTTCTTTTAAATTTAAATAAACCTATTCTAAACATTGATGATTTTATTTTTTGTTCAATATAATGCCAAGAAATTTATTTAAATAAATAAAGTACATGATTTTTCAAAAATGGCCAGAAAAATATATAAAATATCCAAGTATTATAAAGAATGCTAAGATTATACTGATAACAAAAATAACCTATTCTTAAATTTTTATAAATTTTATTTGCAATGTAAGGCATAACAATTAGTGTTAATATTATATGTTACTATAAATATTAATAGAAAATAATTTAAGATTGCTTAAATTAGTTTATAATAGTGATATTATTCTGAAATTATAAAACTAGTGTTTAATCATAAATAAAATAGTGAATATAGGTATAGAAATACCAAGTTGCCAAGCAATCAACCTCCCAGATTTAGTTGGTTTATTAGATAATAAAGTAAAATGTGAAAACATTTCCCTTCAAAACGTATAGATATTATATTTATAATTTATAACAATTATCTAAAAATCGATAAACGAAAAAAATTGAAAGAATACATGTTTAAATTCACATCAAAAGCGAAAAGAAGATAAAATCTTAATGTCATTATAAAATAATACAACTATTGTAGTATAGTGTTAGGCATATAAAAGACAAGTATTTAAAATTGTTAATCTAATTCAAAAACAAAATGTATTAGATTATTATTTATTTAATCTGTATAGGGGAAAAAATGTATTTTTAGGAATAATACATACTTAAAGGCATTGTCTCACGAGAATTTAAAAAATGTACTTCATGTTTTGTTATAGAAATTCTAACTTGCTAAACTTTGTCATTAGGTATAGTTTGATCTTATAGTTCAACAATATAATTTAAAAAATCAATTTCTTAAACAATAAGATAATGTAATGCAGTGGTTCTCAAATTATGTTCAAAAAAGGGATTAATGGACACATAGAAATTTAAAAAAATACTTTTAATTTGTTTGGCTTGAAATTGAGATTCCTAGTTGTTAAGACTAGATTTTTAAGGGTTACTTATGGGTTCTGTGAACAAAAATTATTGATAATTGCTGGTATAGTGAAATTAATTAAACCTATAATTGTAATATTAATGTATAATAATACTACTAATAATAAGTATTACTTATTGGCTATATTCTTACACACATTTTTGAAATAATAATATATACTAATTCAACAAGTTAGAACAATGAATAATAACAAATACAAAGGCAATTCAATATTTGCTTAAGTCTTAATAAGTTAACTTCAACATTGTTTTAAATAAACATATATGTTAGGATCTATTTAAAAAATAGTAAGACAAATAATAAATGAAAATTAAGTATTTACTCAGAGCCCTACTAAGGAATTTTGGAGCCCGATGCTAATTTTTTGGTGAGATCCCTCAACCTATATTATAAATTCAATTTTTTTTATTCAATTTATCTTTAAGATTATAAATAAATTAAACCATAAGTCTAAAGTAATTATTTAGTGTTGATTGGTATAAATAAAATGTGTATGACCGTATTACAAGGTCCTAATTAAGTTGGGGCCCGGGACTGCAGCCTCCCTAGTCCCCCTCATAAGTACGGCTCTGTTTATATACCTAAATAAATGTGTCGTCACACATGAATCTCGGCAGAAACTATAACGTCAAACAGATACTATTATTTATCAATGAAGAGATAACAACTAAAGAAATGTTTATAATTACCTGTTATATTCATAAAAATAACAAAGTTAAATAATAAAAGTACTACTTACATAAAATAAACTTTACTTGAGTTTAACAAATACCCAGTTGTTCTTCTGAGCGGTGGATATTTGATATATTCGAAAGTGGACCAATCACCAATGAACAATTTGGAAGACTATCCTAAAAAGTAGGACTACAATGTTTTATAATATTCAAAATGCACACTTTCGAACAGCCCTACTCTCTCTAGGAGAATAGTGTTATCATAAATACAAATATATTATCGTGTACTACTTAAATGTTACACTTATGTTTCGTTTATCGTGATAGCAAGAAGCCAACACAGCAACACGACAACAAAATAATATGTCGGAAGACAGCTGCTGGTGCTGCAGAGAAAGCGTCATCCTCTTATCATTAAATTCCTTTAGCTTGTTCGACGATTGGTCGACAGCAGCAATGAAATGATAATACGGAGGTAATTCTTGGCGTCATCATCATTCAGATACCCAATAGGTATACTATATAACACTTATGTACTATGGTGTTCAGATATTCTATTCACTCCAAAAAATGGAAGATATTTTTAAATCAAATATTGTGTGGTGCAACGATGCGAATTGTAAAATGCGATTTTCGTCTCTCCAGACTCTCAGCAGTGGAGGTTCTAATATGGTAAGGCCAAGGTGGGAAGCTTCGTGTACCAAATTGTTTGAATGTTTGATGTTCATCAATCACTAGTTAAAAGGTTCAATATTGTGTTGTTGTTTTGATAAGTAAAGTAAAGAATTATAAGTCGAGAAAATAATAGTTTATTAAACTCAGTCTGTTATAGGTACGTAACTCCAGTGGCGTACATTAAAATTTGATCTGAGGGGGGGAGGGTTTAAAAAAAATAAGCAACACTAAAACGTCTAAAACCTTCCGTTCAAAACTACCTATTTTCCTAACAATCAAACACATTACACGTATAAATATTAATAGGCAAAACAGCAAAACAAATACAAAGGCTTACATAACTCATGGCAGTTAAATATTATTTAATATGCACACAGTAAATACAGAGAATTATATGTATTATATTATTAATTATTTATAATAAAAATTCTAATCTCCTTTTTTTATTGGATAGTTCAACCAGCACTTCATCAGGAGTAATTGAATCATTTTTGTGGATCGAGCGTTACGGTAATAGGTACTGTCTCTATAGTTACACAAGTAGGAAAATATCTATATTTTTTTTAAATAATTCAATTATAAAAGAAGAGTTTAATATAGTAAATTATAATATATTGCAAAAATATAAGTATAATAATTATATATTCCACATAAGTACATTCTATTATTTTGTTTAAAAGAATAAAGAAAATGTATATTTTTTTGGTATTCATATTTGAAACGTAAGGCGAAAAAATTATTAGGGTTAGGGAGTTTAGGTTTGCTTATTGACTACCTATAGCTTATCTATAGTTATAGATATTACATACTTATCCTTATACGGCAGTGCGCAATTTGAGTCCTAGAACCATCCCTGTATAGTTATTTATAAAAATTAATAAGTAATCTAGAAATGTAGAATATAATAATTTACTCATATTTGGACCAGAATATATTTTGAGTCTATTTACCAAATGTCTAAAAATAAAAAGGTGCCTACCTATACATATTACTATGCTGAATGGCGAATGCTAATATGCTTAGTGATTTTTGCGAAAAATTAATTTTGGCTATGTACTAATAAATATTCAATATTATATATTATATATTCATATATTTATTGATGTATTTCAATTATTTGTCGTCGTCATTCATAAATAAATAAATAAATAAATAGGAAAACAACAAAAATACGAAATTTTTTTTTTCAAAAAAGTTATTTTGTGTAATGACTTAGGTATTTCCAAATTCTTTATCTTAATCCACCAACCGGTACCCACCGGCTACGATAAGCAACAGCACTCCCAAGTTATAGCTGAACACTTTACAACATGTTTCCGACTTCTGTATCATTACGTTACAAATCCGAATTCAATATTGGATGCGAGTCGTGGTCACTGCCCACTGGTCAGAAATTGTATTTCTTGTTGGTTGTTACTGTCATATTGCTTTGCTCTTTACAAAATAATAAAATTATTAAGGTAAGAATTAAACTCTTGCTTACACATTAACATTTTGTAGAATGAGCCCCTAAAAACTATCAGGAGCACAAAAAAGAGAAGAAAAAACCAAAAAAAATAATTAGAAAATAAAACTTAAACTATTACTTTAGTCGATGGGAAATATTAATTAGTTACTTTAAAATAACTTTAAAAATGCATAGTTATTAGTTAGTAGTTACACGTGCTGGGGATCTAAATATAATCAAATATAGATCAACTAATGTCTAATACTATAAATTGGAAATTGGAATACGGGAAGCTCTGTTGAGAATGTCTGGTGCCATGGCGATTATTTTACTGAATTTGCCTATCTAGCCCCTTACTAGTAACACGCAAAAAAACAATTAATACAAATTGTTTGGCCCTAAAATATAATGAATGCAATTTTCACCATAGATCTACATAAAAATATAATATGCTTAGAATCATATAAATAGTAAATACATATTATTAAGTTGGATATATTATAATATTTATTAATGTTTTTAATTTTGTTGTTTATTTATATAATGTGTTTATGGAATTATGTTTATCATCCATCATAAGTTATCTTATTATATTTTTATTTTAATAATATTATACAATCATGTAGTAATATTCATAATATTTTAATAGAATGGTTCAAAAATAAATTAGGTGTATCGAGGTTTGATTTGTCCCCCGAAATTCCATAACTTTATTCATTTTTAAGAGAAATGGCGAAGGCCTCAAGTCCTTACTTGAAATTTCTACCAATCCAACTTTTGGTGACTTAAAGTAGGTAAACTTAAAGTTTTGGCGCATCAAGTATATTGAAACAACTTGTTATGCAGTTTCTTTATTTTTAGTCAAGTGAGATCAAATATTTAATCAAATATTGGACGTGAGTAAATTATTACAAAGTTCAAAGATTACTATAAGTTAGGAGGCAACAATGTTAAATTCATAAGATATTTTTCTTTGAGAAATGCGTTATAGAAGAACAGAACAAACTAAAACTAAAGCAATTAGTATTTGTGAAAAACATATATTTTCTATAAATATTCTAAATATTTGTATCCAGTAAGAAACAAGTTTCTTGGCTTCTAAAAAGTTATAGTTCTTTTAAAACTATAAAGACCTTAATATTTTTAAGAGAACGTTACACTGCCATTATATTGTCTTCGACCTCCGTCTTACAAGTGAGTAACATAGCAAATTTAGACATGGCAGATTACGTATAGCTTCGTTAGTTTGAAAATTATAGAGAATCGTCCTATTATGACACATGTAAGAACATTAACTGTGTTTCTGTGCTGGCAAATTTTCCGTATATTATTAGTGTAAATTAAAAATACTCACTTAAAAACTGAATTATCGTAAAAAATCAACATATAAACACAGTTAAAAAAACATCAAGTTTCATAATAGGTCGATTCACTCTAAATTTTAAACTAACAAAGCTATACGTGATCTGCTGAACTTAAATTTGGTATGTTACACACTTGTAAAACAGAAACAATAAATGCCAGTGTTCCGCCCCCTTAATGGCTACAGGTTAGGTTTCGAGAATCTTAAATAATTTTTAGGGATTTAGGTTAAGTTTTGAGAGTTTAAGTAGTCTAATAAATAAGCAATAATAATAATAAGGAACCTAATAAATCAAAAATAGCAGTAGTATTAATGAAACTTTACATTTTATAATAATTAATTAATTTCGATAGTTGGATGTTGGATCATTGGATGTTATTGTTAAGCACTTTTATAAAAATTCAATCGATGGGATTTGGAATATCAACTTATTATTTGCCTTACTTATATTGTGTATTAAAGCCCATTAATACTTTATATATATATATATAATATATTACTTTTACACGAATATCTCAAGGTAGTGAGTACAGTGAGTATATATTTGGTAAAAGTTATTTATAGGATTAATTAGGATATATTTGTAGTATGTACGTTACCGTGAATGCCCTATCACTAGGTAAACCTAGGTTTTACTGTTTGTATTCAGTAAATGCTGAAATTCTTAATTTTATTCGGGCTTTTACTAAACACGTTGTGTACATCCTAGGATATACAAATTGACTTAGTAAAAGCTGATTAATATTACACGGCACATAACATTTAAGCGATAAGCTGCGTAAAAATTATAATTTTATATTATTAAAATAAACTACTGATATTTATTTAAATTCTTTATACAAAATAAAAATGTATTTTAAGTTGTACATTTTGTCTGGCAATTACACCTCAAAATTTTTGCTCGCAACGATTAATAACAATTATTTTCGAAGATAAATTTACGACTGCAATGTGTAGTTACAGCATTCAATGTGTAGATATTAATAATTTACCTTAGGACTTGCATTTTATCGGGTTTAAGATTAATATTATACAACTTATATCGTGATATAACTTAGTAATAGCTGATATATATTGAAGGGTGGCACTAATGAGCATACACCATTACACCAAGCTGTTGCTCAACTTTCACTATCAGGCGGGCAAGCATTTTTGAGGTGTGATTGCCAGAAAAAATGTACGACTAAAAATTCAAATGCCGCCAGTCAAATGTATTCTGTAATAGCTATAATAATGCCATAATGTGCCATAACATCATGTGCAAATAAATAAAAATTTTAAACAACAAAAATTTAAATAATTATTTCTAACTACTTATCAATTTTACTAATTTTTATGAACAAATAAATAATAATTCTGTTTTTAAATGATTTTTGTTTTGTATAAAGAATTTAAATAAATGTCAGTAGTTTGTTTTAATAATATAAAATTATAATTTTTACTCAGCCCATCTCTTAAATGTTATGTGTCGTGTATTGATCAGCTTTTACTAAGTCAATTTGTACATCCTAGGATGTACACAACGTGTTCAATAAAACCCCGAACAAAATTAAGAATATCAGCATTTACTGAGTACAACCAGTAAAACGTAGCATTAACTAGTAAAACCTAGGTTTACCTATAGTGATCGGGCATTTACGGTAACATGTATGTTGATACCTTTCTATTATTTAAGTAGAAAACAATATTGTTTCATATATTTGAGGTAAACCGTTTTACACTTGATAGTTTTTCTTTTTTTTTTAAACTTGTGAAAATTACAAGTTGATTAGGAAATAAAAGTAGCTTAATTCAGTTCAAAATCAGTTTTTTTTTTGTAAGAAATTATTAATTTTACATTTTGTTAAAGTTAACAAATAACATAATAATTTAATAAAGGTCTTACATTTAAAAAAAAATGTATGTATTAAAATTA